GTCCCCAGACCCTAAATGTGTGAGAACCCCTGATCTAATGTTTGATATATGTATATATATGTATATATGTAAATATATGCCTATTAGCTGGTTAATATATATATTAACCAGCTAATAGGCACTTTTCCCTGTATAGATGTAATAATGAGGCCATCTTTAGGCTGCGTATAGTCGTTCATAAATTACCAACAGAGCTGCCCACATTTTGTGAAGATGTGCACATTCATTCACAGCTCACACACAGCTGGTATTGCAAAATCTAAAGAGGCATTAAAATATAACTCTATGGTGTTGATATTGAGCACTGTCTGACATCTTCTTGGACATATCTGACATTCTCAATCTTATGGTCAACAGGTATAAACAGACCATTTATCATCACATCATGCTACTGAGCCATAAAGCCAGTTTCTCCTTTCACATAGCGACCATCACAATGCTCTTATACCTTGCTTGGACAATTGTAGGCTAATGCTACGTTCACACCGAACGCGTTTTGAGCGGCCAAAAAGCGCAAAACGCCTCTCCTTGGACGCACTACGTTCAGACCGAAGAACGCACTAGTGTTCAGACCAGAACGAGAAGCAGCAGCAGCAGCGAGGTGTGGGAGGTGCATCTGCCCTTGGCGGGTGAATAAAGATAAAAAAATAAAATTGCTTTGATTTATTTACTAAAAAGCAAGCGAACGTTGCGCACAGCAGATAATTAACTCACCAGATGATTTAGAGGTGATATGCTCGGTCAGTTTTGTCACTCTAGAAGCTGCCAGCTGACGGACTTATTTTTTTGGTCCCGAGCAGCTGATCCACATCGGTGCTGATATATCCTGCCAGAAAATCCAACTGCACACGGTCGATTTCAGGTAAAGATCTCCAGTCCGTCTGTTTCGGTTTTCAGTGGGAGACGCTTTGAGCGGCGAAAAGTTCAGATATTTGAACTCTGGCGGCGGCTGCTTCCGCAGCACAGCATGCGCGGAAACGCTCTGCGCCCCTTCCGCCTTCCTTGCGCGCCGCCCAAAACGTCCGTGACGCGACGCACGACCCCTAGAGGCGTGTCCACCGTAGACTTTGCATGTGAATCGGCTGCTCCTGCCGCTCAAAACGCGTTCGGTGTGAACGTATCTTTAGACATGGATCAGCTGCAGGCCAATTTCAGCCTCCTATTCCATCTTAGTCCTTTCACCAATCATGCCAAGACAGCCAGAAGGCAACGTGAGTGCTAATTTGAAGTGTGTTCTGGGGGATTTTAAATAATAATAATAATAAATCCCCAAAACATGAATGAGAGTGGTCTGCAAGTGCACCACCATAAACATACTGTATACTGTATATATATACTGTATATATGAGGCCTCAACTGCCTCAGAGAGGCAGGGAAACAGGAGCAGAGAGCAGGGGGACAGTCTGATGGCTCGATGCTGTTCTCTGTGTTCTTGTTGTTGCAAATAAAACAGCTGATCGTTCCACAGAGTACCTTCATTCTTGGACCATGTATTTCTGTTTTTGTTAAATAAATATTTCCATAACAGTGTTTTTTTTTTAAATCATTTATTTGTTTGTTTGCGTATGCATGTTTACATCGCAGATTTGTGAATTATGTCTTTTGTTCTGTGCTTTTTTATTTTAATGTAAAGCACTTGTTGATCTAGATGCTGTTTCTGATGCTTCTTTTGTTAGGTAAATGGTAAATGGTAAATGGTACTGAACTTATAGAGCGCTTTTCAAGTCCCTCCGGACCCCCAAAGCGCTTTACACTAACAGACATTCACCCATTCACACTCACATTCACACACTGATGATGGCAAACTACATTGTAGCCACAGCTGCCCTGGGGCGCACTGACAGAGGTGGGGCTGCCATGCATCGGCGCCACCGGACCCTCTGACCACCATCAGTAGGCAAGGTGGGTGAAGTGTCTTGCCCAAGGACACAACGACTGAGACGGCTGGACGGGGGATCGAACCAGTGACCTTCTGGTTCCAGGACGACTCCCCTAACCACTCCGCCACAGCCGCCCCACCACTAGGTGTTGTTAGGGCTCTGCTTAGAGATAATGTATAGACTTTTTTCATCTGTGGAGAGCTGCTGCTCTGCATCAGAAGGAGTCAGCTCAGGTAGTTAGGACACACCCACACCCTAGATTTCCTCCACTTGGAGGATACCTCAGTGAAGACCCAGAACTCACTAGAGGGATTTTGTATCCTTTCTGGCCTGGGAACACCTTTAAACTTGGGTGTTTTGCTGGTGAAAGGTGTGTCTGGGTTTCCCACCTGGAGTTGTTATCTACAGCCCAATCACAGATAAGTGATTGAAGATGGATTGATGAATGAATGAAGGGATTGATTTAAAACAGAACAATGCCAATATTATTAAATAAGCCTCTCTCATATTTCATATATTTTTGAAAAGCAATGTTCTAAAATGAATCTTGTAGTGAATCTACTACACCAATTTACTTTTTAATTGGTAATAAGAATAACAATTGTATATTTTCTCTTGTTTCTTTCTGGTTTGTATAGGTGCTGAGTGGAGAAAGGCACAGCCAGTGCTGGATCCCAGAGGGACAGTCAGTGTGGTAAGGGCCCTTGAGACGAAGAAGGGTGCATGGAGGGTTCAAGGCCTGCAAAACCGGGGTCATCGACTGGCCTCTGGTTGGTGCTGTTCTCTGTGGCTGCAGCTATCCTTTGCTCTGAGGCCTGGACTACTCCTAGCCCTCTGCTCATCTCCAACAATGGCACTTGCAAAGGGACCTCTAAGTGTCAAGAAGGGATCATCCTGCCCATCTGGTATCCTGAGGATCCTTCCATGGGGGACAAAGTAGCACGAGTCATTGTTTATTTTGTGGCTCTGATCTACATGTTTCTTGGTGTGTCAATCATTGCCGATCGTTTCATGGCAGCCATTGAGGTCATTACCTCTCAGGAAAAAGAAATTGTCATCAAGAGGCCCAATGGGGAAACAACCACAACAACTATTAGGGTGTGGAATGAGACTGTTTCCAACCTTACCCTCATGGCTTTGGGTTCTTCCACACCTGAGATTTTGCTCTCTGTTATTGAAGTTTGTGGACATGGGTTTAAAGCGGGTGAACTTGGTCCCTCCACAATTGTTGGGAGTGCAGCCTTCAACATGTTTGTCATCATTGGCCTCTGTGTGTCTGTTATCCCCCAAGGAGAGGTGCGCAAAGTCAAGCACCTCAGAGTATTCTTTGTCACTGCAGGATGGAGTATTTTTGCTTACATCTGGCTTTATATGATTCTTGCTGTATTTTCACCCAATGTAGTGCAGGTCTGGGAAGGCCTAGTCACACTGTCCTTCTTCCCCATATGTGTAATTCTAGCCTGGGTAGCTGACAGAAGACTACTCTTCTACAAGTTTATGCACAAGAAGTACCGCACTGACAAACATAGGGGGGTCATTATTGAGACTGAGACAGATCGATCCAAGGGAATTGAGATGGATGGAAAGATGGTCAACTCTCACTTTATGGATGGAGGCACAGCCAGCAATCTAATTGGTTTAATTGAGAGCAAAGAAGTAGATGAGTCTCGTCGAGATATGATTCGAATCTTAAAGGACCTCAAGCAGAAGCACCCAGAGAAAGAGCTGGATCAGCTGGTTGAGATGGCCAACTACTACGCTCTCTCACACCAGCAAAAGAGCCGTGCCTTCTACCGTATCCAGGCTACACGCATGATGACGGGTGCTGGAAATATTCTGAAGAAACATGTTGCAGAACAGGCTAAGAAGAGTGCCAGTGTGCAAGAGGTTCATGTAGATGAACCAGAAGAGTTTGTGTCTCGGATTGCTTTTGAGCCTGGTGTTTATCAGTGCCTCGAGAACTGTGGTGCCGTCATTCTGAACGTTACTAGAAAAGGTGGTGACATCAACAAGACAATCTACGTGGATTATAAGACTGAAGATGGCTCAGCTAACGCTGGAGCAGACTATGAGTTTACAGAGGGCACAGTAGTCTTCAAGCCAGGAGAGATCATTAGAGAAATAAGCATTGGCATCATAGATGATGATATATTTGAAGAGGATGAGCACTTCTTTGTGCGTCTCAGTAATCTGCGTGTCCTGGAGACTGAGGATGAGGTTCTGTCCCCTAACAGTCTCCCATATCCAAAGGCAATGTTAGGATTCCCCTTTGTGGCCACTGTTACTATTCTGGATGATGATCATTCAGGCATCTTTACCTTTGAGAGCAGTTCAGTCCATGTAAGTGAGAGCATCGGTATTATGGAGGTAAAAGTATTGAGGACTTCTGGAGCAAGGGGGACTGTCATTGTGCCTTATCGCACCATGGAGGGGCTTGCCAAAGGAGGAGGGGAGGACTTTGAAGACACCTATGGAGAGCTTGAGTTCAAAAACGATGAGACCTGGTAAGACTTCTTTTTTTCACGCTTAATAAGCAGTTGACCTTCAGTGTTTGACTGAGAATTTCAGTGGTCGGTGGTCAATGTTTAATCCATAACCCTTACTAAATTTCATACGGAATAAATTTAAAGACAGAAAAATAAGAGATTTTTCTTTGAATCTAGTTTTTTCATTCAGTAAATTCTCTCTTAATTTTGAATTGAATTTGATGGTTTTAAAGTGGCCAAATGGGAATTTGTGTCTGTATATGTAGAAACATGAGGTTCAAAGCTGTTTTTAAGTCTGCCAAAAAACGTGTCTCATATACAGTATGAATATGTTGTCTTCCCTTTCTCTCTCTTGATGTCCTTTAATGTCTACTCTGTCATTTGCACTCCTACTTCAGTGTAAGGCTGTGCGATATGGCCTAAAATCAATGTCACGATATATTGACCAGTTTACCTTGATAACGATAAATGCACGATAACTCTTACCACCCACCACACAGGTACACAGTATAGTACAGTCATAACACTATGCATTGTGTCCATGTTCTTAGTCAAAGTACACAGTTTAATGTTCTCTAATGAAGCATTATACAAAAATTTTAACCTGAACTATTTGGGCCAAAGGGATTTGTAAGGAAGAGTTAGATTTTGAACAGCTTTTCTGTAGTTTATATTTGTCATTTCAGTGTTTTTAATATATTTAATAAAAAACATTTTTGTCAAGACTTGAGTCAGATATAGTCATGCAAATATTTAACCATCTTCATAACTTTTCAGCGCAAACACATTGTACGTATGTACTATAGTTTTATATTTTAAAAAATATACCTAATGTGTCTTTTGTATTGCACAAAATAACTTAAATACATCTTTTTATTCGTTAGACTGACTGATTTCGCTTTTAAAATAACAATTTCTTTCAAAATTATATTATTTAGAAAGCTCATGTAATCATTTAATACTATTTATTCTTCATATTTGACCATTTATTGAATCACATTAGTCACAGTATGGTTCTAAATATAAGCAAGCTATATTGTGAAGAATGAAATTTGTAGATATTTATGATAAGAACGTAGCATTTTTTAAAATTTGTTTATTTTTTGCAGGGGAGGGGGGCTAACGCTAAGCGGAGACTAGTCTTTTGTTACTGAGGCAAAGTGTTCATCTGAGTTAATATTTTGGAAGAGCTGTCTCTCACAGAACAACTCAGCCTGTGCGCACCTTGGCGTACTCCCGTAACAGCGCTGTCGAGGAGAGAAGTTTGGTCACGCAAGCAAAGTTGGACAAATCTGTTAGATAACGACGCTCTGAACACATAAACTTATAGTGCGTTAGATTTTAGACATCAATGTCTCGGGTAGCTCGGGAGCGAAGTGTGGGGGACTAGGTTTTCTCACTCAGGACAGGAGCTGCAGGGCTGACCGGTGTTTATCCTGCAGCTACACCAACATCAGAAAGACCAAGGTACACTTCGCTGCAGCATGCAGAATGGGGCGGGGACGGACCTTTCCGTCAGTCCCATACGTTATATGGAAATGGGACTATTGCATTCCGGAAATGAAGGTTGCTCCTTAAAGACGCAGGATTAAGAGAGCAAAGGAAGAAGAAAGGAAGAAGTTAGAGAGTTTCTTCTACTCAYGTTGAAGTACTCAGAGCATTATTTATTAATTTCTKTTATCCACCTCCCCAAACACAGACCCTCAGGTTAACCTCACAGGTTTAATGCCTAAGGTTAACCTCACAGGTTTAATGCCTAAGGTTAACCTCACAGGTTTAATGCCTAAGGTTAACCTCACAGGTTTAATGCGTAAGGTTAGTTTGTTACTGTAATATAATATTAATGTCCAAAAACAACAAAGATTTAAGAAAGATTTGAAAATGAAAAAGGGACATACCACGTGACATAACACGTTTTGTAGCCATTTCCTTACTGTAAAATTTGTATTTTTAATGTTGAAAGTGTTCGATAGAAAAATAGTGTCATTAGTGCCCCCTTCATTTCCGGAATGCAATAGTCCCATTTCCATATAAGGTATGGGACTGACGGAAAGGTCCGTCACCGCCCCGTTCTGCATGCTGCAGCGAAGTGTACTTGGAAAGACCCGCCCTGTTCTGCTCTGATTGGATAAAGCTGTGGGGTTCGTTTGATTTGTTGAAAGCAGCGTCTGTTTCAGCCTGTATCAAACAGGGTGGCTTTAACGAGACCGCAACAGAAAACAAGCAGGTTCTCCGACATAGGCAAAATGACGTCGGTCATGAAATTAGCATGTCGTGATATAATTTATTTTCATGGGAAAGTATTTTCTACTGGTATTATCGTCAGTGATATGATATGGCCCAGCCCTACTTCAGCGAGCTTTAAATACTCAGTTTACCCACACAGTTAGACAGCATACTCTCATCTGAGTGTGCACTTTGCTGTATATCCCCTTGTTTTTCTAAGACCTTTCTGCCATCAGAGTGCTTTGGTGGCAGTTGTGTGTCTCTCACATTAAAAGAGATTCAACTTGGATCAATCACACAATAAGACACCCCTTGTTTATTTGTTTTTTTCAATTCTCACAGTTTTGCTATTCTTCTAAGTATTTTTGTGTCCTGCTTGCTTCATCTTACAAAAAACAGAAGGAAGTGATGGAGGCATAGTGCAAATAAAGACTCAAATTAAAAGTCTGAGGTCTGTTTTAGATTTGTTAAACATTATTTAGCTTAGTATATGGAGGTTGTTATGGATAATGAATTATGAAGATTTGATTTGTGAATAAAAAGATAGTATTTCGCTGCAGTTTTAAGTGAGTAAAGTTAATGCCTTGTGTAAATTGCATGTTTTGTAGCTTTGTCATTTGTACCATCTGTGTACACCACTGGACTACAACAAACACAGGAACTGCAACTCAGTGGACACAATTGGCAGCATTGCATGAGTGGCAACACACTGTGCTGTAGTACAGAGGGAGTCAGGGCCTTAAATTGAATGACTCTGTGACATTTGTTTTGAGTCTAAACTCTGAAGCATTTCATTGAAATACTGGCATCGACACAAACCTGCAGCCCTCCAGAAATTATATTTTGGTTCACAGCTTGCATCTACTTGTAACTCATTTGTTGTATACAGGCTACAGACTCTGAATCATGGTGGGGTGTGTCTGCAGCTTCTGATTTTCTACCAATGGGTCCCTCTCAGTTTGATGTGACGGACTGACTGACAGGGTTTGTGCTCCAGAGGCAGAAGCTGAAACAACCCAGGAGACTTGTGGCAGAGGATACGGCTGTTCGGTGCTCATTGGGCTCAATTCAATTCAATTCAATTCAATTCAATTCAATTCAATTCAATTCAATTCAATTTAATTCTGTAGGAATTACTTAATGAAATCAGGACCAGCCTATTTTCATAAATGTAATCCAGCAAGA